TCGTCATGATCAAACCTATATTTCTATTGGATTTTTTTTATAGAGTAATGCATGGTTCAAGGCATCAAGTCTATTTCTTTCTATGCTTCATTTATTTGTTGATCATTCATGATGATCACGTCTTATCTTTATTTTGTGACGAAGACTCAATGAAAAAATTGACACTTTATTCTTTTTTAGCAATAATTTAATTATCTCATTGGTCAAGTAGATGTCTATCATTCTACTTAGACTTTATAATACAATGGTCTTTGAGTGAATAAAATAAACAATTCCTAAGTTATAACCATAATTAAATGATTAAGTCTTACCCAAAAGTATAGTTTTTTTTGTTCCATTGAAAATGAACCAAACGTACAACTATATGATTCGAGAATTAATGGTATTTGATCTTCACCTACCTCATTGAATAGGCAAAAATGTAGATATGAAAGCAATAAACCAAGTAATGTGTATGTAAATATTATACTTGATTAGGTTAATTAATTAGGCATACATGATCACACATAATTTTAAATAAAAAAAACGAAGTCAAACTCAACTTTTTAAGTCGAGATTGGTATTTTTTAGTTTATTAGATATATTTAAAACATCTTATCAGTAATGAAGTAGTTAATATAAATGGATTAGGTTTAATTGCGTATAAACAAGTGATTGATGTCATAAAAAAAGCTAAAAAATTATCGGACATAAAATTTGTACCTAAAGTAGTAATGGGTTTAAAAAATATCGAATATTTGATTTAGATACATGTATCTTTTTATTTAAAATGTTGGATTTCGATAAAACATTTGCGCATAAAAAACCCAATCATTGATATATAAATTGCATATTTTACGTGTTGAATTGAGTTTAAGTGAGGGTTTTTGATTTTGTAACTCCTTTTTTCAAGAGCATGATGGTGTCCAAGATGGATTGTTCAACTGCACATGCAGAGAGGAACACACACAGTATTGGGAGATAGCAAAAAGGTGACAATATTTCTTATTCAAATGAACAAAATAAACTTCTTTTTTAATTCAAAAATCATGAATTTTTAAAATATTTTATCTATTAAATTAACAAATTATTGTTTGGATAACTTACATTTCTTTCTTTTCTTTTTTTATTTTTTTTATTCAAAGCCTGCGTACTTTGACCAAATGTTAGGCCAACGGCAACCCATTCTTCTGATTTTTGCGATGACAGTCAATTTTAGGAGAAACTCACTTGAGTACTCATATACCATAAATGGCAGCAGCCATTGAAATTGCAGCTTGCTAATAGTACAAATATTTAATGCACGTGAAACAATTTGGTTCTATTTAAAAATAATCATTAACACTTTAAGGTCTTCGAATAGATGAGAATTTTAGAAACTTGCTTGATTATTTTAGAGTTTTTTTCATTACGATTTTAATTTTTTTATTGTTCATACATATCTATAGTTGATTCTTGATATATCCAAACTTTGTTAAATCATTATAATATTAATTTGAATTTGACGATTTTTTCACTTTGTAAACATAACTTGATTTTTTTTATATAAAAAATAGAGATTCGAATTTAATTTTTTAAAACAGATATACATAAACCATATATTAAATCGAATACTAAGACCCAATTAGCTGGATTCTTATCGTTTGAATTAATGTCCATGCACGATGCCGACTTCTAGAAATATTTAATATTTCTTATTACTTAAATTTTGTTGAAAGTCTTGTAACTTTCGTGCCTCACCATGCAAGATTTTCCTGCAGAGTTCATGCATTGCTATTAGCCACGTGCATATATATATATATATATATATATATATATTCTTTCTCATTGATGACCATAGCCTTATTGGAACAACCACCTTTGCTTCAACAATCAAATTAGCGTAACCATTAATAGAAAAAGTTGTAACTACTAATTCTTCACCAAAAATAGTGAATATATATATATATATATATTTTCTCTCTCATATATGACCATAGCCTTATTGAAACAACCACCTTTGCTTCACCTTTGCTCCAAAAATCAAATTAACGTAACCATTAATAGAAAAGCTTGTAACCACTAATTCTTCACCAAAAATAGTGAATAATTTCTAAAAATAATTTTGTAACTAATGCATGTTTCCTTTAAAGGAAGCGTACCCATCTACATTATGACAAATGCGGTCGAACTTTTAAAATATATTTTTTTGAAAAACATAATAGGGGTAATATGCATTTATAATTGAATCAAATACTCTACCTACGTGAAGTATCTAAAAAGGAAAAAACAGTTCAATGTACTTAATTATATATGTTATAAAAAGTAATGTCAAAAATTTGCTTTTAGAAAAACTCAAGTTTCATAGTTTATAAGCATTCGAGTATTTAACTTATTGGTTAGTTCATGATTTTCTTTATAAAGAACAGAGTTCAAATCCTCTTTCCTCTAATTAAAAAAAAAAGTTTCATATTTTATAAGAAAATACAACAAAACTTTTATAGGCTCAATTTGATAATCAGAAAATAATTTGTTGAAAAAAATCCTTTATGTGTAAAATATTTTAATGAAAAATCTAATAAATTTTGTTGTTTAGATAAATTATCAAAAATATTTGTTATTATTTGGATCATTTTGTAAAAAAAAAAATTCATCATAATTCATCTAGGTTTCCTCTTAAATTTGACTAGAACAATGCATTAAAATTTGGTTTCCTCATGATTTATAGCACCCATTAACAAATTCCATCTAAAATGACTTATTCTTGAATGTTACATAAATGTTTTATTTAGTATCATTTAGTTGAGAAATGGTTGGTATAGTTTTTCTACTTTTGGGCATTTATTGTTAATTAAACAAAATTAATTAATTAAATATACAATGGTTAAATAAAAAGGTAGTCAAAGAGTAGTAGGACCCCTGCCAAACTCAATTGATGGCTAACTATAATTCAAATTACTGCTTAGAGTGGGATTACCTTTGTTAAAGAAATGGCAAAAATAGACCCCTTCAAAACAACCAGTCAAAAATGACTAGTGCCATTACGTAATACTAACATTAATTATTAATTTCATACATAAGCATACAGATTTGAGTTATATAATAAGAGATAGGTTTTTTCCTATCGTATAAATCTTGCTATGTAATTCTAAAATTCAAATTCAAAATATCTAAATCAGAGTCTCAACTTTAATAAATAAAATTAATTTTATGTTGAAATTTACATCTCTGGGTTACTTTAAAATTAAGTTATGTTATTTGGACATATATCGAACTTCTCCAAGAAAAACACGAAACGGGTCACTTCAATATGAAAATAAAGATAAAGAAAAAACGAAGAGAACATATGTGTTCTCTATTTGACTCAATCTCAGCTGCGCACGTGATCGCAAAAAGAATACTTTTTTTTTATATGTTAATGTTCTAAAAATTCAGAAAGGCTGCTAACCAAGAAGGAAACAAATAGCATATATTCAAAAAGAAAAAAAAAAGAGGCACCCAGATGTAGGTCGAAAGTTAAAGGAAAAAGCATACAATCTCTGCCAACAGGCTGCTTTAAGTAAAATATATATATATATATATATTCCATTCTTTTGAATTCTTTTTTGTTTTTCCCTCTCGAGTTGAAGGCCAAAGGTGCCCTGTCAAATTGAGAACCATTCACTTTTGATAAAAAGCATTTTGGCATATCTTTGTTTAGATAACAATTTCTTTTTCTTTATATATATATATATATATTTACTTGAAAAGCAAAATTAATTAATTTTTTAATTTCCATCATATCTTGGTTTGGATTCTGACAGTAATTAAGAATTCATGATGTTGGGAAAGTCATGACACATGTTTTATTTTCTTTCCCCTGTCTTTCCACAATTTAAGTTTATATATCTTTAATCGTCTTCAATATCAGAAACAATTTTACATATATTTTTTTGGGTATGCATTATTCTTTATTAAAGATAAAATATTTTGATAATTTGAGGATATATATACACATAATTTATAGGATATTCTTTTTTTTTTAAATTTACTACCACATGCATGTACACTTCCAAAAAAGGTCTGCGTTAGACTAGTAGACAAACCGGTATACATATTTTTACCAGGTATGTATTCATATTGCATGTATATTTCATAATATTGACATTGTCTTACGATGTAGATCTTAAAAAAAATTAATTTGTATTTTAAGAGTTAGTTTAGCTTTAATTTTTTTTTCCAAATGAGTTTACATTTTCTCACTTTGATGAGGTGTATTTACCAATTACAGTACTTGGCGTGGATATCATTTTTGGGTTTTTAATTTTAATAAAACGTAAGTGACAACTTGGCTTCTTGAATAGCTATTAGGTTTCTAATTTTTTCCCCTTGTTTTTTCTTAAGAAGGTAACTTAAATTGGTTCTAGTGTGTGACACAGTCGTCTTTGGCTTTCGTATAAAAAAGAAAAAAATTAATAGAACAAAGACTTTCTCATTTATCAGTCCACCCTAGGCACACCAACTATGAATAAAAGATCTGATAAGCTAAACCAACCTAGATCATAAGACTACCATGTCAGTGAATAATAGATCATTACCTTAAAAAAGAAAAAGAACAACACATCATTAGCACGTTTAAGTTTTTTTTTTTTTTTTTGCAGATGAAAAAATTGAAATTCGAATACATTTTTTAAACAAGTACATAGAGACGAAATGATTAAGTTTTGGTTTATTGATAATGTAAAGTGAATAATTCTTGCATGAGCCATCATCAAAATTATAGTAGTTCTTTGCTCTCCAAGTAAGGGAGGACTTGGCTTAAGCACAGGCTCTTCAAAGGGGGAAGTTGATTGTTTTTGGTCAATCTCAAAAGGACAGTTTATCCAATGAGAAAAACTTACAAAAACCCAAAGTGCGTTATACTTTTGAACCAAGTCTTTAATTAAAGGGAAATCTACCGGAAACTTCCCCCATATGAACACAAAAGTGAAGCTAACTTCCTAGCCCTTACCACATAGGCCTGGCCTGGCCAATCATTTCTTCTATAAATACTTGCCCCCCAAGGCTTCAAACCCTTCATCTCAATTCTCGAAACTAAACCAAATTAATCCGAACGCACGGAATATATTCTTTCACCATCAACATCTTGTATTCTTTCTTCTTCCTATAGAGAAGCAAATTTAGTTAAGATGCTCAGCCATTTACTCAACGCTGTCACGGGCGACAATGGGAGCAAGGAGATGGAATCATCATCAGGGAAGATCAAGGGCACTGTTGTTTTGATGAAAACCAATGTTTTGGACTTCAATGATTTCCAAGCATCTGTCCTTGATGGGGTTCATGAGTTGTTAGGCAAACGGGTCTCCTTGCAGCTTATCAGTGCTGAGAAGGGTGACGCTGGTGAGCTTTTTCTTGCTTGAACCTCTCCTCCTGCTTTTGTTTCAACCCAGAAAGCTGAAAAAGCAAAAGGGTGAAAGCTTTGATTACCCCATTAATGAAACGACAGAAATCCTTAAACGTTAGATGAAACTATGCTTAGGATTGTATATTAAAATCTAACTATCTTCCATGCTTAGATTTTTTTTAATTTGAAAACAGTTATTTAGAATGAAAGGATATGTCATTTCAGTGATGGAAATTGCTCCACCATGGCACCATTTTCCCAGACGTGGGGAGCAAGTTTGTTTGCGTCGTACTCGCACTAAAGAGTGCAAGACCTCCCGTTCTCTACCTGATGTGGGATTGAGGCACTTTCCTTGTTACACTCTCACCCACCCGAATCGGCAAGCGTCCTCGCTGCGTCGGCCACCCTGCCTATCCCGTTGGGCCCCACTGGGCCAGCCCCACCGGGCCGAGCGCTTGGCGTGAGTCAGAACGAGGACCGGTTTGCTCTGATACCACTTTGTCACGGGATCATTACTCTCTCTCCCATAAACATGTCTATAGGGGTGTGCAGCACTACCGCTTATAAGGAGCCTAAGACCTCCTGTTCCTGCTTGATGTGGGATTGAGGCATTTTCCTTGTGACACTTGCACCTTCTTCACCAAATGAGAAATTTGAACTTGAAAAAAGTAAAGATATATTGAAACCCCAACCAAATTATACTCATATACGGTATAGGTAGATACATGTTATTAGTATTTTTTTTAAATTATAATTTTGAAACATAAATAAATATATATTTTTTAAAATTCACTTTTTAATAACATTCATATCTGACTTTTGCATTTTCGTATATATTTTATTGATTTTACGAGCATATATATATATATATACACCTTATATGTTAAGAATGTAATGTATAGTAATAGTATCTTTCTCCATTCCCGTAGGGTACTTTAGTCATAGCAATCTTCAAAAGACATAGAAATGAGATGAATTCAAAATCTAATTTCAAAGGGTATAGTAAACATGTGATGATCGATTAATATTAATGGAATGAAACAAGCAAAAACCCTGTTAAACCATGACTTTGAAACCGTATACCACCTAGCAGGGAAGTGAACCGATACAAGCGAAAGCGAATTGTTGGGCACATGTCTCTATCTTTTGTTTTGTCCTAGAGTGTTTGTTTCCAAAGAAACAGCATGCTCATGTACCCAGCTGGCTAGGACACTGTGTCTGCCTTGCCCTTTGAGTCACCGAAGTAAACAGTGTCCCCATGAATGATTGTTTCGATTTGGTCTTAGACACCGTGTCGGTATTACCTTTCTCCTTTTGTTGTGATAAAGTGGTCACGACTCACATGCGCCTTGAGGTCGTCAATAAAATCATAAAGACTTGGAAAATGGAAAACCCTCCAATGACCAAGTCAAGCCAATGGGAATTCTTCTTATTGGTCTCTCTCTCTTTTTTCTTTTATTTACTAATATTTATTTGTCAATTTTGCTTGCTAGCTAATGGATTGAATGGAAAGCTTGGAAAACCGGCATATTTGGACTACTGGACTTTAACAGATGCTTCCCCAGTAGCAGGGGAATCTAAATTCAGCGTTAACTTTGATTGGGATGAGGAAATTGGAAGACCTGGAGCTTTCCTGATTAAAAACAATCATCATAGTGAATTCTACCTCAAGACTGTCACTCTTGAGCATGTTCCGGGTCATGGTCCGGTTCACTTCGTTTGTAACTCATGGGTTTATCCTGACAAAAAGTACGAAAAAGATCGCATTTTCTTCACTAACAAGGTAAAAACTTAAATTCTTTTACCACGCAGAGGCAAGTTAAGCAGTTTACTGTCGTGTTTTGCTAACGGGTGGTTGATGTTTTTCTAGACATATCTTCCCCATGAGATGCCAGAACCACTGCGTAAATACAGAGAAGAAGAGCTTAAGGCCTTGAGAGGAAATGGAAAAGGAGAGCTCCAAGAATGGGACCGTGTCTATGACTATGCTTACTACAATGATCTAGGGAATCCTGACAAAGGTCCCGAATACGCCCGCCCTGTTCTCGGAGGGTCTGCACAGTACCCTTATCCTCGTAGAGGAAGAACAGGCAGACCACCAACGAAAACAGGTAAAGAAATTACATAATAATCATTGTGTTTGCCGCGCATTTCTGTTTTGAGTCTGACAAGGTTTTTGTTCTTACTTGAATTAACAGAGCCTAACACTGAGAGTAGGATACCACTTCTTATGAGCTTAAACATTTATGTTCCAAGAGATGAACGATTTGGGCACTTGAAGTTGTCGGATTTTCTTGCTTATGCACTGAAATCTGTAGTTCAATTCATTGTACCTGAGTTAGAAGATCTAACTGACCGTACTCGTAATGAATTCGACTCCTTTAAGGATATAGATGATCTCTACTACGGAGGAGTTAAGCTTCCTTCCGGCCCTTTGCTTGATAATATCATCAAGAATATCCCCTTGGAGATGCTCAAAGAAATTTTCCGAACTGATGGGGAACAACTACTGAAATTCCCTGTGCCTCAAGTGATTCAAGGTATGCATCAAAAGATTTTGCCAATTTGAGAGTTAAAATATCCATGACTTCTCACATACTAATCTGCATTATCTTCTGATATTTTTAATGAATTGGAGCAGATAGTAGGACTGCGTGGAGGACTGATGAAGAATTCGCCAGAGAAATGCTTGCTGGAGTAGACCCTGTTATCATTCGTCTTCTTGAAGTATGCTCCATGACCATCATGAGTTTTTATTTTCCCTTTTTTCCTATTGTTCGTCAAGGAAAGTAGATTGAAGGAAAACAAATAGAAATCTATCTCAATGGTTAACAGGGTACATGTCTTCTACCTTTTATTTATTGATTTTTATTTGTCAATCGCAGGAATTTCCTCCAACAAGCAAGCTAGATGCTAAGGTATATGGTAATCAAAATAGTGCTATAACAAAGGAACACATAGAGCATAACCTCGAGGGGCTCACCATAGAAGAGGTAATGTTTTGTACATTTCTTGATTTCATTCATAAGGACAGTATCTGAATGGTTCAGAATTGTTATCTGATTCATCTTATCTTTAGAAATTACTATTCTGACTTGAAAGGATTTGGTTGAACAGGCACTGAGGACCAACAGGTTATTCATATTGGATCATCATGATACCCTTATGCCATACCTGAGGAGGGTAAACTCTACTACAACAAAGACTTACGCGTCTAGGACTGTCTTGCTTTTGAGGAATGACGGGACTTTGAAGCCATTGGCGATTGAATTGAGCTTGCCACATCCAAATGGGGATCAACTTGGTGCTGTTAGCAAGGTTTACACACCAGCAGAACATGGAGTTGAAGGTTCCATATGGCAGCTGGCTAAAGCTTATGTGGCTGTAAATGACTCTGGTGTACATCAGCTCATAAGCCATTGGTATGGATCTGCTGAGGAAGGCTTCAATTTTAAATAGCAATTAATCATTGATTAGCTTCAATTTGAGAAGGATGTTTTTCATTTGTGGTTTTTGATTTGGTCACAGGTTGAACACTCATGCGGTGATTGAGCCATTTGTGATTGCGACGAACAGGCAGCTAAGTGTGGTTCATCCAATTTATAAGCTTCTTCAACCTCACTACCGTGACACAATGAACATAAACGCATTTGCCAGGCAGATCCTGATAAATGGAGGTGGAATCTTAGAGTTAACAGTTTTCCCTGCAAAATATGCCATGGAAATGTCATCAGTAGTATATAAGAATTGGAATTTGCTTGACCAGGCACTTCCCAGAGATCTCAAGAAAAGGTAAATATCTGAAGCTGTAGTATTGACAAATTCATGGTTATAGAATGATTCTAGATTTAAAACAAATCTAATTTCAGGGACTAAATGGGAATATGTAATTGCTGGACTTCAACCCTTTCAGGCCCAGACCACAGAATTTTACCAGTTAATTATTCTAATTAAGAGATCCATAGAACATTGATTCAGATTGGTCTTATGTCCTAACTTAAAATATAAAGCTTTTATAATTATATTATTTTTTGGGTACATTTTTAGTTATTGTTTAGTGGAAATGACATACTTCCATCTTCTCTATTCAGAGGAGTTGCAGTTGATGATAAGAACTCACCAAATGGCCTTCGCCTACTGATAAAAGACTATCCATATGCTGTTGACGGATTGGAAATCTGGTTTGCAATTGAAAAATGGGTCAGAGACTATTGCTCCTTCTACTACAAGACCGATGAAATGGTTCAACAAGACCCTGAGCTTCAAGCCTGGTGGAAGGAACTTCGAGAGGAAGGGCATGGTGACAAGAAAAATGAGCCATGGTGGCCTAAAATGCAGACCCGTGAAGAGCTGATTGATACGTGCACCATCATCATATGGGTGGCCTCTGCTCTCCATGCAGCGGTTAACTTTGGGCAATATCCTTATGCGGGCTACCTCCCCAACCGCCCAACTATAAGCCGCAGGTTCATGCCAGAGAAAGACACCCCTGAATATGCTGAGCTCGAGTCGAACCCTGACAAGGCTTACTTGAAAACAATCACTGCTCAGCTGCAGACTCTCCTTGGAATTTCCTTGATAGAAATTCTGTCAAGGCACTCATCGGATGAGGTTTATCTTGGGCAAAGAGACACTCCTGAATGGACATCAGATGCCATACCACTAGCAGCTTTTGAGGAATTCGGAAAGAGGCTTTCAGGAATTGAGGAAAGAATTGTGGAGATGAACAAGGACGAGCAATTGAAGAACCGTGTTGGTCCAGTCAATATGCCCTACACTTTGCTCTATCCTACTAGTGAAGGTGGACTCACTGGCAAGGGAATTCCAAACAGTGTCTCGATCTAATGCTTCTTCAATTCTTCATAATTTAGGGTCTATAATTATTATTATTTATTTATTTCTTACTTAAGTATAACATTTGTATACAAATAAATGTTGCTATGACTTAGTTAAATAAAGCTTATGCTCAAATTAAATTAACCAAGGCATTGTTTATTCTCTTTTGGGAAATTTGATCTTGCATGTCTCAATAAATTCTTATTTATATGCAGCCAAGAAAATGTTTAATAGTTTTAATCTTGACGATAACCAAAACTAGTTGTTTGCTTTTTTTGTTTCCAAGCAAACAATATTATAAACCAAATCAAGGGAATTATACATTATTTATAATTAAAATTTGCAATGGCTACATATAGAGCTAGCCTGCGATCTATAGGAAACAAAAATATAACATAACACAGTAACAAACACTTAAAAACAGTCTATTTGCTTCTAAATTTTGTCTAGTAGTGATAGACTACTACAGTGCAAAATGCACTTTATTTACTTAGTAATTCTTTGACAGGCAATAACATAAGCGATTAAACAGGCAACTAAGCACCAGTGGCTGTGGCAGAAAATGTTGGGAAATTTCCGTCACCAATTCCAACAGTTGAGGTGCATCCTGTGAACATAGCGTTGCTGTTGCTGCTAGCAGTGACCAGTGCATTAAAAATTGCAGGCCAACGACCTGTAGTGAAGGAGCTAGCTTGATCAACCAAAGTATAAATAAAAATTGGACTGGCTGAACCAAGCGACCATTACCTCATAAACTTTGTCAGCGGTAACTGGGATGCGATACACACCAGCTCCTCGTGAACTATTTTGATTTTTAGCATGTTGAAACGTAGTTGCTGCATCAGGTAAGATCTGGCTGGAATAATAGCCAAGGCCGCCAGGTTCAATGCTTCCTTGCCAACAATTGGAAATAAATCCAATATACAATTGGTAAGGGAGTAATGTTTTTAACATTACAATTAGTGGTAGTAAGGGTAGAGCTAGTTAATTTTTTTTTAGAGGTCAAAAATGAGAAAAAATAATGTATAAAATATAAATAATTAAATACGATATACAAGATTAATAATTTTTTTTATACAATCAATATTATTTAAAAACTAAATACTTAAAGATAATTTCTTTTCAACTCAATATAAAATATAAAAAACATAAAAAAAATCTTATATAATCAAAATTAATAAAAAAAATAATATATTGGTGAAATTTTAAGCAACAATTAATAATGCTATGTTAATTTTAAGCAACAAACAATAACGAAATGGTACAATGTATATTTAAGAATTACATAATAATTTTTTAATTTTTAAAAATTAAAATCATTGTAAACACATAACATTAAAAAAAAATATGACAAGTAGAAGAGAGAACTACATAACAGAAAGAAAAAAAGAAGAATATAAAAGATGATTCGTAAAAATTTAAAAAAAAATTATGAAAACTTAAAATATATGATTATATAGAATAAAATTGAAAATAATAATAATAATAGAAAATAAAAGATGAAAAAAGCTTTACCTTTTTGTAATCTCATAATGAAAGGACAAAAGAAAATAAAAAGAAAAAAGAGAAAGAGATGGAAAGAAGTATGAAGAAACTTAAAAGGAAAATTTATAAGATTATTTATTATTCTTTATTTGTATTAATAATTTAATAAAAAAAATTGTTTGAAGGGCCTATTAAAAAATATATACAATATATTATATTAATAATTTAATAAAAAATTATTTTGAGGCTTATTAAGAAATATATGTAATTTTTTAAATTTTTGGCCCATTGTAAGGGGACGCTTCGCCCCTGAGTGGTGGTGACTTGATCCATGTCAGTCTTCTGTGCTTAATCTTCTTCCTTGTAGGTATCGTGCGGCTGAGAATATTTCCATTAATATCACTGAAAGAAACTATACGGTAAATTCAGCCAATAAGGCTGGGAACCAACTGCTGATACAGAGCAAAAAAATGTAAACAGGGCGTGCGTAAAGATTTCACAACAGAATCTATCCATCCTAGGCTACCAAGTGCATAACAGAATCGACGCATGGCCTAAAAGAGTCATACATCAGCTATCAGCCACAAAACAGGAATTAAGTACATAGAACAAATGCACCTGGATTTGCACTAGCCGAGGGCACTGACACTGATGAAGGGGAGCAGGCACACCTCTGCCAGAGCTGGTCGGTACTAACCTTCTATGAAAAAGAAAACAGGAAGCCGGACCAGAAAGAAAGGCAGCCATAAGCATCTGCAAAATCACCATCAGGTGGAGAAAAGCGATGGTTTGTCAACTCCATATTTAGCAAGCGAGTCAGTGAAAGTATTTTCTTCTTTAAACACATACTGAAAGGAAACAGAAGCAAGAGAGAGTCTCAATTAATCAATTTCGTTGAAGATATTTCATTTGTCCCATGATCTATGAAATTGCAATTTTAGAATCAGATTCAATAGAGAGGTAAAGACCCATATTACGAGTTGCCGCAAAGAGTCTCAAAATATAAAGAACAGCCATAAGTTCAGCATAATTGGGTTTTGAATTCCTAAGGGACCAAAGAAAATTCCAGCCATAAACCTTGAGAATTACGGAAAACACCTCCACATCTGGTCAGACTCGATTTGCCTTTAGCTGATCCAGCAACGTTGAATTTGAAAACTCATATAAAAGAAGGTTCTTATGAGATCTGGAGATCATGGTGTAAAGGAGAACACTTTATAAAAAGGTTTCGTATCAATAACATTAATTTCTTCACGTGCTCGAATCCAAAACATAAAACCATTTTAATAAGTAAAGAGATTTCATTATTATCTCAACTTTATTATTGAAAATAGAATCATTGCGTGCCAACCATAAAGACCAAAACACAGCACCACAAACTGTCAACCATCTTTGATGAATGAAACCAGAGAAAGGACAATGGGTACAAGTTGTCAAAGGATTTTCACTCTATAATTAATATTTTCTTTTAATGTGAGATTTCCTTTTAAAAAATAGGGGTTTTTATAATATTAAAAGATGTGAAATTTTATTTTTAAATCACTTTTTAATTTTTTAAAAAATTCACTTATTTGGATTTTGTGATTATAATTTCAAAGTCTATTAGTAACATGCATTATAGAAAAATATATATTCACATGCGAAACACCTGATGACCATATACTAATAATTTCTTTTCTTGTGTTTAATGGACTAGTCATTTCTTGAATGTATGAAATTAATGTTATACACTTATCACCGGACAATTACCTTCTCTTAACTCAATTTTTTTTTCTGGATTAAGAATATAGATTTTATTAAACTCAAGGGAGTCTGTTCCCAGGAGAACGCTGCAGCAATGAGAACTTTAACAAGACAATATATATATATATATATATAGCAAAATAGATAATCAAATGCGTTTGAACAAACTGAGAGTCGGTTTGGTAACTAAAAAATGACTTATTGAAAAAAAAATTGTGTAAAATATTTTACAAGAAAATTTAATGTTTTCTAAGATAAACTATCCAAAACATTTTTTGTTATTTAGATTATTTTATGGTAAATATTTTCTATCATAGTGGAGTTATTTAGGTGTTAAAATAATAAATAGGAATCGATTACCGAACAATATTGATATTTGGTTTTCACTAATTTGAGATTAAAATTACAAATAGAAATGCAAATTGGTTAAATCAATAATGATATTTACCAAAACATTTAACTACATATTTGTAATGAAAATAAACTCTAACTTTCAAAAAAAATTTCTATCTCATCACTTTTTTATCATAACTATAAAAATATAAATATATATTCATTAATGGTGTAAAATATCCAAAACTTATATTTATAACTATGATTTATTGAATTACGATTATTGAAATATTTTTTATTATAATTATTAGTAAGATTTAAACTTATTATTAATGTGTATTCATCGAATGACAATCAGTGAAATATTTTTTATTATAATTATTAGTAAGATTTATTCAGTTTATAAATAAAAAATTTAATTGCATTGAATGATTTCATTAAAAAAATATTAAATTTAATAGTGTTGTATAATTTAAATATTGATATTTTAAATTATTTTTAAATTTAAATATTAATATATTTTTTAATATTTAAAATTAAATATTAATATTCGTCAAACTTATACTCATAGATTTAGTATAAAAGTGTTTTGTCTTTTTCCGAAATATGTCTTGTGCACGTAAAATATTTTACATCTAGAATTAATTTTTCATCTTTCAAACAAATATAAATTCTAAAAACGTTTTCTAAAAAATATTTTACTTCAAAACAAATGTACTCTAAATCATTTAAAGTTTTCAATGCTTGATACGTAATTTAAATCATTTAAAGTTTTCAATGATTTATCAAGCATAGTCATGGTCCTGAAAAAGGTGACAAAGCTAACAACATTACAAGTTTTGGTAAGGACGTAGGACCTCAGACTACATGTTTTCAATCAATCAACATGTTTGATGCTTTGGCCAACACATTATGGGACCTGTTCGACCATCTTGTTTCATGCTCCGATGGCACAGTTAACCTTCTGCCTACAACGTCTGCATTATGGATTTATACATGGGAATGTATGGCAGTGTCATGGAAAATCAGGTGAGTAAAGATGCATTTAATCAAATAAATAATCTACCTATAGATGTACGTGAAAAAAGGTGACGAAGCCAACAGCATACAGTAAGAATACTAGAGACTTTTGTTTATAAGTAAAGGTTCTCGTGTATTCAATCACTTAATCATCCTTTTGTCATGCCACGATTATGTCGCCAACACTGTGTTTGATGCAAGTGAAAGAACAAAAGGAAAGACAAGGTTGGAAACAAATTAGTTTTTCCTTTTCATATTTTCCTTTATTTAATAGGGGAGAAATCGGGAAAAGACACAAGAAAAAATGGGTAATTTGTAATTTTCTTTTTCCAAATCTAATTATTCAAAAGGATGAACCCAAACAATATCGATATGCAAAGAAAAGACTTAATCAACTTAAGCTAACCATTTATTATAGATTTCATCCAACTTAAGGTTGGTAATCAAGTTTAGTAAATTCTAAGTCATTGAAGTTCCCTTCCTACATTGGTAAGGGAATTAATTGGTAGTTGCAACTGACAATTACAATTCTACATTATTTATATTTACTAAGAAATTATTGGTGGGAAGAAAACTAATTAAATTTGGATTGATAATGTTGTTACTTTATTTTTACCATTAAAATATTAAATTTGTTGCTATTGCAATAATAAAACTACAAACAGAAACAAAAAGGCAAATCGAAGTTATTAATTGCTGATTTACTAGATGATGCACTAGTTTTTTTATGAATAGTAGGTTCTTGTGGGTAATTGTACTGCCTGCTTCACCTTCACTAACTTTTATGCCATGTGAGTCTCTTGCAACTTAAGCTTGAGATTCGAAATGGCATGTCAGTAATAAGGTTAATAAAATTTTATTTTTCAAAAAAAGAAAAAAATAAAAGATGATACACCAGTTTCAACTTAAGAAAGCATCATAAAAGTTTAATGATGTTGTGTGATTGATATTTTGACAGATTTACTATATTGGTTGGTATTGACATTACTGTTGTTATTTTGACTGTTGCAATATTTATTTTTGTAATTAAATGGATATTACAAATCTTTTGTAATTGAAGTTTATATTTTTGTAAGTAAAGTTGACCTTTTTGTGATTAAGTTTGATAATTTTGTAATTGGTTTGTAATTTTAATCAAATTGTTAAATTTTTTAATGGTTCCTAGTACAAAGAGAAGTTAATTCAATTATGTCATTTCATGATTTTTTTTTCTTTAGATTTACATAAATAAATCAACAAATCAAAAGATAGCAAGGTTTCAAGTAGAAATTACACTCACCCACGATATATCATATTTTAAGCAAAAATTGTATTTAACTATACTGTTTCAAGATTTTCACACACGTCATACACCATTTCAACCTACTAGGAAGCCTAACATTCTCATATGTAATGTGAAACAAAAAATGGTAAAGGCATCTGCGAAGTCCTTGTACCGTAGGGTTTTATTCAATTTAGTTTTAGTACTATAACATTTTATTTAATTTAGTTCCTATTTTACATAAAAATAATTGACGTGTTGAAATTTTTTTATATCTAAAAATTTTTTTTAACATGTCAATGTCACGTCAGTATTTTGTCAATATTGTCTAACATGTCAATATTATATTAGCATCATCTGACATGTTAATGAAATATCAACACCATTAATGGTCAATTTGAATAGAGTTAGGTAAAGGCACTCAATTAGACAATTTTAAAGTATAGAGACTAAATTAACTAATTTTGGTGTAGAAGAACTAAATTAATGAAAGTTCAATAGTACAAGGACTTATAAAGTATGGCCAACTAAGGGCTATAATTCCTTGTTTGTATACAAATAAATGTTGCTATTATTGCAACAAATCAATTTTATTGATCTATTTTCTGTATAATACTGTAACAACTTTGACATAATTTCTTGTAGTATCAATTTCTTACTATGATCGGGCCTTGCTTGAAAATCTAACAGTTACTAGATTTAACATTTAGATGAATCTTGTTCTACATTGATTTGATTTTTTTTTCTTTTTTTGCCTTATACGGGGAAACCATATATCCCCTGTCCCGATCTTGAAGGGCTCCACAAATTGAAATTTTCACGAATCTTGCAGTAATTAATTATGATCTTACAGTGAGAGGGAAGGGTTTTTAAAGTAAAATTTTCATAAATTGTTGATGGGTTTCAAGCTAACATCATGAACAATTTGCCTGTTTGCTGCTGATACAGGAGATTATGGGTGAAAGATGGACATGCAAGCCTTTGCTGCTTTCATTGGATGAAATGAAATTAGATTCTTGAAGTGATCCTCTTCAGGGCAACTCTGTGAGGAAGAACAAAGCTCTAATTAGGAAGTCGAACCTTTACATTTGACATATCAAGCAGGTACTGAATTACATTTCACAAGAGAGATACGAATACTTAATACCAATGCTCGAGTTTGTGATGCATCTCCTTTCTAACGTGATTGCAATGGGTGGCCTACTAGGCGTAGGCTTAGAATTCTTCTTTCAGACAAGCATTGTCAGAGTCGTACGTTGGCCACATGGATCACGTGTTCCATGACCATGATGTTCATATTTCTTTTTAGGATTCTCGTAGGATAAACAAGCTCACCGACCTAGAGTGTTGAAGATTAAGATCATCCAAATCTCGAGTTAATTACTAAGGGTGATTAATCTTCAGCTATAAATACATCCGACGTTTCGGTCATTTCGTCACATCCAATCCAACCCCAGATATATTCTCGTCATTCATATATCCTAGCACCCTTTGTCCAGCTAAGGCAAAAAATGATTCTAGGAGGTGTGCTCAATGAGATTACCGGGAACAAGAAATCCGAAAAGATTAAAGGCACAGTTGTTTTAATGAAGAAAAATGTGTTGGACTTCAGCGCCCTCGGTTCATCTGCAGTTGATAGTGTTCTTGAGTTGGTAGGCCAACAGGTCACCCTGCAGCTCATCAGTGCAGAGAATGCTGACCCTGGTGAGTTTCTTTTTTGTTCTCAAACATTTGATTTTTGCCAGCCATAAGAATTGTGTTGCTAGTAATAGTTGTCTAAGAACTGAGCTGTCAGCCCAAACTTGCAAGCCTGCTTTCAGACATGCTTGGACTATAAGAATATATTTGAGAGAAAACAGTGGAGAGGACTAGCTTTCAATAAAAAAGCCCAAGTCTCTACTCCATTCATGACAAAGGAATAAAAGAAGGGCTTCACAACTCGCTTTGATGCTAATGTGAAATGATCTTCTATCCTTTCAAGGCAAATGCAACTCTACAATTCATATTACTTTTCAAAAAAAAAAAAAAAACTCTACAATTCATATCAAATAATGCTCTCTCTTTAAATTTTACATATATAAAAAATTAACATGCTAATTTTTTGGTTGATTGCTTTACCAAATGGGTGATCTTCTATGTGCTATCACTTTAATACAAATTTAGTTTTACTAAACAACGTTTCTTTGATCCAACAAAAAAACAAAAAAAAATGGAAGAAACAGCTAATTTCTTTGTTTGCAAAGCGATGCTTTGGTATTAATTTATTACTCCTTGAATGTAGCAAATGGAAATGGAGGAAGGCTTGGGAAGCAAGAAACTTTGGAGAACTGGAACCTTACATTTACTCCTCCAGTAGCGGGTGATTCCTCATATAGTGTTACCTTCCAGTGGGAGGAGGAGTTTGGAACGCCTGGAGCTATTATAGTACGAAATAATCATTCTGTTGAATTCTACTTAGAAACCATTACTCTCGAAGATGTTCCTGGTGAAGGCCAAATCCACTTTCTTTGTAATTCTTGGGTTTACCCTAATAAACAATATAAAAACCCACGAATTTTCTTTGCAAACAAGGTAAACAGCATTTGTCATGAAAAATTACATTATATATATATATATATTGAGTTATGGTATTAATTAAGTTTTATTTTATTTTATTGTATAGACCTACCTTCCGCATGAAACGCCAATGCCCCTGCGTAAGCATAGAGAAGAAGAGCTAAAGGTCTTGAGGGGGGATGGGACAGGACAACTGAAATCAGGGGATCGTGTATATGACTATGCTGTCTACAATGATTTGGGAAACCCTGATTTAGGTTCAGAACTCATTCGCCCTATTCTAGGAGGGTCTGCTAAGTATCCTTATCCTCGCAGAGGAAGAACAAGTCGACCACCATCAAGATCAGGTTAGACGACGATCGAAAAATTTTACACTTCAGGATATATAGGAAACGCATGTATTGCGATTTAAACAATAGTTATATTGATTCTAACATTAATCTTAATCATATTTTTTGTTTTTTAATAGATCCTAACACCGAGAGTAGGGTGTTTATCCCGGGTATTTTTAGCATTTACGTCCCTAGAGATGAGCAATTTGGTCACTTGAAGATGTCAGACTTCATTGCTTATAATCTGAAAGCGTTAGTGCAGAACATCATTCCTGCATTCCAAGCTTTTGTCAACTTTACTCCCAATGAGTTCGATTCCTTTAAGGAAGTAGACAACCTCTACTTCAATGGAATTCAGCTTCCTACTGAAGCTCTCAATCAACTTACAAGTAACATCCCCTTACCAATGATCAAGGAAATTTTTCGGACTGATGGGGAGCAACTTTTAAAATTTCCAGCGCCTCAAGTGATTGAAGGTACAAAAAATACTGTTAAAATGTCAATTGCTAAATTGAGAGCTCAAAATCTATGACTTCACGTACTATATATTTTGTCCTTTCATATATTCATTTTAGTTAATACTTCAACGGCTTGCGAGCAGATAGGAGTACACCGACTGCATGGAGGACAGATGAAGAATTTGCTAGAGAAATGCTTGCTGGAGTGAACCCTCTGCTCATTCGTCTTCTCAAAGTATGCTTAAAACACAACTTGTTGGTCAAGAAATCTGATATTGCAAGGAAAATCAGAAAACATCTTTATAGTGATTGGATTTTAAATGAGATACATACATGGTTTTATGATCAACTGCAGGAATTCCCTCCAACTAGCAAGCTAGATCCTGAACTGTATGGTAATCAAAACAGCTCCATAACCACAGAAGACATAGACTATAACTTAGACGGACTCAGTGTAGAAGAGGTAATACATATATTTTTCTTCATTTATTAATTTTTCTCTAAAGAAATCCTGTGGTTGTTATTTAATTCACCTCTTTATATTAGTATCAACTTCCTAACTTGATAGGGGATTTTGGTTACAGGCAGTGAGGAGCAATAGGCTATTTATATTGGATCATCATGATACGGTGATACCGTACCTCAGGAGGATAAACACTACCTCAACAAAGACTCATGCATCAAGGACAATTCTCTTCTTGAGAGGCGACAATACATTGAAGCCAGTGGCAATTGAATTGAGCTTGCCACATGCAGCGGGAGATAAATTTGGTGTAGTTAGCAAGGTGTACACTCCAGCAGAACACGGAGTTGAGGGTTCTATTTGGCAGTTTGCTAAAGCTTTTGTAGCTGTGAATGACTGTGGTCATCATCAGATAATAAGCCACTGGTAAGGATCTGTCTAAGAAGGCTTAAATATTTTTTATTCACTAACAAGCAAATTGGTAATCGGTTTGAATTTGGTCTCTGCAGGTTGAACACTCATGCAGTTTTAGAGCCATTCGTGATTGCAACTAATAGGCAGCTGAGTGTGGTTCATCCAATTTATAAGCTTCTCCACCCTCACTTTCGTGACACCATGACTATTAATGCATTGGCCAGAGAAATTCTTGTGAATGCAGGTGGATTGCTTGAAGGTACATTTTACCCTGGAAAATATTCCATGGAGATGTCATCCGAAATTTATAAGAGTTGGAATTTCTTGGACCAGGCACTCCCCAATGATCTCAAGAAAAGGTAAATATAGTCCTAGTGATAAATGAATCGAATCCTCTACATACATATCTAATATGTTTTGATGGAAATGACATAGACCGTCTTTTGTTTTCTATATATACTCAGAGGAATTACAGTTGATGATGCAAATTCCCTACATGGTCTTCGGCTATTGATAGAAGACTATCCATATGCTGTTGATGGGTTGAAAATCTGGTTTGCGATTGAAAAATGGGTGAGAGACTATTGCTCCTTCTACTACCAGACGGATGAAATGGTTCAACAGGACCCTGAGGCTCAAGCCTGGTGGAAGGAACTCCGAGAGGTGGGTCATGGTGACAAGAGAGATGAGCCATGGTGGCCTAAAATGCAAACTCGTGAAGAGCTGATAGAATCTTGCACCATCATCATATGGATAGCTTCTGCTCTCCATGCAGCTGTCAACTTTGGACAGTACGCCTATGGAGGCTACTCCCCAAACCGTCCAACACGAAGCCGTAGGTTCATGCCTGAGAAAGGCACTCCTGAATATGCTGAGCTTGAGAAGAACCCTGAGAAGGCTTTCTTCAGAACAATTACTTCACAGCTACAAACCTTCAGTGGCATGTCCCTGATAGAAGTTCTGTCAAGGCACGCATCAGATGAGGTGTATCTTGGACAACGAACCCCGGAGTGGACAACAGATGCAATACCACTGGCGGCTTTTGAGGATTTTCATAAGAAACTTGCTCAAATTGAAGAAGATATCATAAAGATGAACAAGGACAAGAAATTGAAGAATCGTGTTGGTCCGGTCAATGTGCCATACACTTTGCTCTATCCAACCGGTGAAGTTGGACTTTCGGGCAAAGGAATTCCGAATAGCATCTCAATCTAAGTGATGTTAAGAGCACCGCTATACTAAATAAGTTTTGCTGTTGTTTCTGCAGATCAACAGTATCGCCCTATTGTAAGTGTGATGAAATGGTGCGCTATTGTGATGTTATGGAATTCGTTTTTGTTTTCTTTTATGTCAGGTGAATTGATCACTGATCAGTGCAATGCGGTCCCTAAACTTCCTAATTACCGGCGCCAAGTCTTTGCACTCCTAGGATTAGCCCCAATTGGAATCTCCAAGTAGATAAAGGAAGAGGGCTCAGTCTGCAACCTAGAATATCCGTAATTTCTCTTCCTTTGCTCTGTTCTATACCCACTGGCCCAAAATTGACCTTAAGGCTTGAGGTCATTGCAAAGCATCGAATTAGTCTTTTCACATTTGTTTCTATAAAAATTATTATGCCATCCGTAAACTACAAATGTGAAATGGACATACCCGTTTAAACTCTTCTACGTTTACCACAAAGAGATGAAAAGCTTCAATTGCAATGATAAAGAGGAAAGGGAGATCGAGTCCCTCTATCTAAGACCTCCAGTAGTGGGGAAGTCTCTTGTTGCCTCTCTCAAGCCATTAAACCCTGGGGCCTTGAAACCCTTACTCTCCCGTGTGGCTGTTTTTCCTATTCCTCCATGGTGAACGGTTGTTTAAGAAAAAGGGCACAGTGGGTGGGTAGAACCTTAAAGCCCAAATCTCCCATTATTGCTCTCATTGTTTTGACTCTAAAAAATAATTGTTGAAAGTATTGCACGGCGACCTCCTGCACCTCTTCCGGTTCCATCTTACCCTTTTATTAAATTTTCAACATATCAATTTTATTACAACCTCAAAATTGTTATTGGTTTTTTTTTTTATTTTGTTAAAGTCTTGTTAAATCACAACCTAATAATTGAATCTCGGGGCAGTGGGAAGCATGGCCCATCATATTTTCCCAACTATATATTTTTGCAAAATTTTTCTTTATCTACAATTTTTTTTTTTAATTCATTGCAACTCTCATGTAAGTTTTATTTTCTAGGTTTGAAAGTTAGCACGGTTTTGGAATGTCCAATTCCACATGTTTTGTATAGCGATTTTCAAAATATGAAAACTGCCATAGCAATAGAAAATTGAAATTGGTATAAAATCTGTGCAGGGTTTACATCCTAGACCAATCCACTAACTGCATATACCATGTTACCTTGTTCTTGTCAACTTTAGCAACAGTCCATCATCCAAAAGTCTAAAGGTATTTTTTTTTTGAACGGTGAAACAGTTGAATTTTCAGATAAATTACGATATGTTGTCATAATCTTACTTTAATTATTATAAAGAGAGTTTACGATTAAGATTCAAAAAATTTTGTGTTAACTTCGTTTTTGCGTTATAATTGTGTTGGGAATTAATGACATTAAAATTATCTTTAAATTTTTTTTATGTGATCTTTGGGTTGCTCCACAATCAATAGAAAGAGATAGGGCTGATTTATAAACGGATCATTCTTGTCACTCAAAGCATCCTAGTGGAGAAAAGTAATGTGACGATTTTTTTTTTTTTAGTTTTCAAATATATGGTATTTTTAAAAATTTGTTTTTTAATTTTAACTATTTTTAGTTAAGAGAAAAGATTTTTAGGTAAAATTATATTTAATGAATTTGTTCATATTTAAGTGCACGTGTTGAAAGGAATGTTGTTACATGTCATGTTATTACATGAAATATAACAAATAGAAGAACCTCAAAAGCTAATTATATAAATTTAAGGATTTTGGATAATATCTTTTTGGCCGGATTCATTTTATCCCAACAGTAACGTTAACTTTGAATAATTTTTCAATATATCTTCATTTTCATGTCAAATTCTTTTTTATTTTAAATTTTATCTCTATTGTGAATATGTTTAACCTCAAAAGTTTATATTTTAGTGAAATACAAAGATAGAGACAAAGTTACATATAAAAAATGTTGTTATTACATATCATGTTCAAAAAAATATTGTTATAATTGAAAAAAACAGTTGTTACACGCTTTATATTATAGTAAAATATAAAGAAGCAAGTTACACACAATGTTTAAAAAATATTATTGTTATAAGTCATGTTTAAAAAAATTAACCAGATGTTACATATTTCGTACAAAATGTTATAAACTAAAGTTTTAGCACTAGATGTTATGCGTTAAGATCAAAGCTTCAGCACCAGATGTTACATGTTAAAGCTTCTTTCTCCTAATAATGTTACAAGCTAAGGCATGAATCACTTTGTTACACGCAAGACATGTTCTATTATATTTAAATTACTGAAAAACTTAATACCAATAAACCCAAAAACATATTGTTATTCACCATGTCATGTTTTTTAGTCTATAAATCGATGATAATATAGCAAAGTGACGAGAGATAAATAAGGAGACAGATTTGTGAATGTTAATCAATAAACCTAAGAACATATTATTACCTGTTATGCCATGTTTTTTGGTTTGTAAATTGACGATGATATAGTGAGATGACGAGAGGTAAACAGAGAGATGATAGTGGTAAAATTAAAACAAGTTGGATGATGGAAGAGAAAATTGGAGAGCATAGTAAAATTGGGAGCACAGCAGATGAATGGTAGAAGAAAAAACTGAGAGCATTTAATTTATCTAAAATGGTTTTAAGAACAATTTTATCAGATCATGACAACATTTTGATAAAAATAATTAATTTCATATTGAAAGTTATTTTTAAAATGAACTTACCAAATTGACTCTTTTTCGTAATTTTCTCCAATTTAATTTCACATAGTAGAAATAGTCACAACATGCATCACCATCGAGGCTCCTTTGTCCTCCACCAACTGTCCAAGGATTAGAAAAAGCGAAGCTGGTCCTTGAGAGCATCTCACCTTCAATGGGTTAGTGAATAAAAATGAGCCTTCTTGTTTTTGTTACTTGAACAATTTCATTTATGAAAGATCGATGGAATGACAACAATATGAAAAGACCAAGAGATTTAAACTTCGCTAATTGGCAAGAAAGATACATGTTTATAACTAAAAGGTGAATTTCGGGTCTATCTTCATGTACCCAAAGTTTTCCTTACTGTTTGCCATAATGAGCATGCATTACATGTAAGCATCAATTGCGCATGCATAGGATTCTTTCTTGAGGTGTGCTCAAGTGCTGCCAGCAATGTTGTCAAAAATGGGTTCCCAGGCACCCTAGCTAGCTAGTTTCTCCCGTTAAAGAAAACAAAGCAGAAAATTCAAAGAAAGAGTTAGGATTGATACATAAACTGATCATCCTAGTCATTATCATTTGTCTTTTCTGCTTTTCCTACGTTGCTCTCTTGTCTTGATTCTGGGGTTTTTTCCTTCTTTGCTATTGCTATGGCTTGCTGTTTCTTGTGTGATTATGATTTTGCAGCTGTGATTTTTGGTGTTGTCTTCGTTGTTGCTAGGACTTATTGGTGCTTGTGTAACTCGGGTTCTGTCTTTGTGTCATTTTCTTAATTCTTGCTGATATATTCAAAACCAAAGATTCACCTCTGGGAGAATTTACAAATTGATAGCTTTTCTCTTCTTACTGATGGCTTTTATTGATTTTTGTTTGTGGTAAGTTTTTTTTTTTGAAAAGCTGTAGATTTCTTTCGTATATTAATTGAAACAAAAAAGATAACAACACTTGCTACTCATTTACACTCAAATATTTAATTTATTAATTAATATTTAATTTTTTATTTAAAAAATAAATTTTAAATCTTCTTTCCTTCAATTAAAAGAAGAAACACTATTATCTCCAATAAAAACTGCAAGGCATACAAAAAATAGGGCTTGCAGCACAGATCACCCCTCCGGACCCAACCAAAAATATACATACCTCCAAAGCAAGGAGATTAACATGACCTCCACCTTCCCTATCCAGAGATACAAGTGATCAGACAAAACAAATACGAAAAATCCCTGTACAACATCAACATCATACAAAAAAGATTCCATCAGCCTGAAATCCCCGCAACACCAGCAGGAAAATCAACTCGCAGCATACACAATATACCATTATAAGCAAATGCAAGCAGAAATAATGACTCATAACCTGTCAAAGGAAAACCTCCCCACATTCACCAGAAGGGTCGGATTCAGAAATTTTTATGAGTGATGTTAATAATTAATAATTTTATAAATTTTTATTTATTGTTTAAAATTAAATACAAGTATCCACAAATCATATAAAGTTAAATATAAATATCAAATAATTAAATAAAATATCTATAAAATTAAAAAAATTAATATTTTAAAATATTATTTGACATGTAATATTATTTTCTATTAACTAGATTCCATTTGAATCCCAAACTATTAAATTAATCCAAAAAATATTTATGCATGAAATATTTAAAAATTTAATTTGAGTTAAAAAATTACTAGATGAATTATTTTGAGAGAGTAAAAAACGTAGTTAAGAATTGAGAAAAGCAAGCCTTATTACAGATCTTAAGAGTAGGATTTAAATATTTTAAAAAAAGAAAGAGAATAGTTTAAGTTTTGATTTTTTTAATAAAATTACTAAATGGCCAAAATTTATGCAAAGTAAAAAATTCAACCGTGTTAATTACCATGTGTCTTTCTTTTAAATGATTTTATTACCTTCAGGAAGGCAGTAAATACTATTGAAAGTCTAAAATTGTAATTACAAAAGACTCGTTATGACATAACAAAGAACGCGGGCAAGAAACCTGCGCAGTTAATTAACAAAAGATCAATTGCCCAAGCATCCTTGGCAACTTTACAGGAGACCAATGACCAAACAAATCACTACGGGTCACACACATCCTTATCCCTTAATTAATATCTAGGTGTCCTTCAGCAACAAGCAGCCCTTAATTAATATCTGGGTGTCCTTTAGCAACAACCAGATCCAAAAGCTTAAAGACATTTATTATTTGTGACGTTCCAACAGCCATAATCCAAAATTCTAATTAAAGACTTTTATTATTTGTGAATAATATTCCAACAACCATATCCAAAAATTTAAAAACATTTATTATTTTTGAGTGTTCCAACAGTCGGATTGTTGGACAGATTAATACATTTTTTCATATTTGCATAACGTGATCTTGCTTTAATTATTATTAGCAGAGTTTAGGATTTAGGTAAGAAGATGCGTAGAACTTTTAATTTTGGATTGTTAGTTATAATTGGTGATCTTTTTGACTTGTTAGGTTCATTTTCTTG